GAGAAGAAAAGTAAAGGATTTTCCGTGACTAACTTTATTACACTTTTAGAGCCAAACTTTAAATATATTGCCTGACGGTTGCCTAAACTACGTGTAGGTACGTCGCAGTAATCCTCCATACAGGCTGGTAATTATGATGTAACGTGCTGCTGGGATCCGTAGCGGGACGGTATCGCTCGTAAATCAGGCTTCAGTGTAATTCTGACGCGAGTCTTTCACGTGACTCACTCCCGGAATCGTTTCTAATTTAAAATTAAGACCCGTAAGACTTGCTCTTATTACGTTTTATGAGTAGCTAAATCTCTTGAAAATGTTCACGCTTTTGATATTATATATTTTTATTTTTTATATATTAATTTGGAGTTTCCATTGTTTTATAGTTTGTTTTATTAATTTATTGCAAAATAATACCTTTCTTTAGAATAATCACAAATAACACTTGCCACGTCCTGGTTAATAAAGCAAGTTGTAAAACGTACGTGAAATAGACATACCAAACTCAAACTCAAACTCAAACATTTTATTGCGTTCATGTGGTTATAAATAGTTCTTATGTTGGATATAATAGAGCCAAACATGAGCCCTGATAGGGCATAGCAATATTATATATTAATTTAATTTAATTGATTTATAAAGAATAATTACTTATTTTATTTACTTAAGCTAAACATTAATTTTATGTTTAATAAACATTTGCAATAACTGTTAATACAAGGATAATAAAAACGTATATATATATATATATATATATATAATTAAACAATTATTATTTTTCCCCGAAAAACTCTGACAACGAATAAAAACTTTTTTCAATTAAATATTTTTTAAGCTCTCTTTGAAATTTATTTAATGATTCTTCTTTTTGTGACCATTTTGCGAAATATAAGCTGTTATTGTTGCTGTAGTTTTCTTGAAACTTTAATATATATATTTTACTATACATAGTGGCAACAATGGCAAAATCCTCTTTATGAAAAAATATTTATGGAGAGGCCTATGTTCAGCAGTGGTCTTCAATAAGCTATGTTATATAAACGAAAAGTAAAAGTAAATAAGTTCTTTCGGTATTTTTAAAAAGATTTTTATACACGAAAGAAAATTCCGGGCTGCCCGTATGGCGATATTATATTTCCTATATATGTATATTTTTAATTTCTAAGACATGCGGGTTTCCTTACGATGATATCCTTCACCGCCGATCACGTACTAAGTTAGAACGTAAAGTGTACGAACTCGGGTATTGTTTTGTACTATGAAATTCAGGCCGAGCGTTCGCAATCTAAACTGTGAAGGTTTAAGGTAACACGAATCTGGAACAGCTACGAAGGTCTTTTTTTATAGACAGAGATATTTAAACCAGAAGATTTTTTAAACCACTATAATGACAAATCAACTCGCAAACCACCAGATAGTAAATCACTGCAACCCATAGGCACCTCAGTCCTCAGCTAACTACAAACAGAAAACTGTAGGTGCGTTGTTGCCTTTAATAACAAAAATGGATTGTTGTTATGGTACTAATTTCAAATTTACAAACTGATTTATCTTTTGATACCACAGTGAGTGGACGACTGATGAGCGGCAAACCTAGGAAATGATTTAAAGATTTAGTACAATTTGCAAGGGCTTACGTGATGTGACTGTTTGCAATAACATTTAATACCGTCTTTAACTATTCATCACTAGTCGAGCCGACACGAGTTTCATTATGCTAATGGTTGTTAATAACTGATTTATTACGATGTAGACAACGCACATCTGTGCCAGTGCCAGGAATACTCGCAACTAGGGGATTAATAGTGCCGATAATTTAGAACCTATCCCGGCGAAAGACAGTATTCCAGATGAGTGTAGATAGTATTGTCCAACGCGATGCCGGTTTATCGAACTGTTCCTTATATTCATTTCGTTGAACTATCGACCCACTCCGACTTCGTGCAGTTGATTTACAAATGTGTTGTTATCTTTTTACTACTTATTACTAGTGACTGACCGACTATTCGGTTTTGGTTTCGGCAAGTTTCGGCAAAAAAATCTAGTTTCGGTAATAGTTTCGGTTTCGGCAAATAATCTGCCGAACCTTCGGCGGCGCCGAAACTCAGTGTTCGTGGATTATCGTGCGTCGTTCGGATGAGTTCGTGACTCGTGTATTATTCATAACTAAACAGAAACAGAAACTTTTTATTCAATATAGATTATAAATAATACTTATTGAAAGTCACTCTTTTGTTTAATTACCACTGGTTCGAAAAAAAACGTATGTCCTTGAAAGAACCAGCAAGAAACCCAGCGGGACTTTTTTTAAATAACAGCTTACAATCAGAGGCGTGGACTAATATAAACGTGGGCGAAGTTGCATCTGCGAGGCCCCCTTTCTTTTGTTCCAAGGATCTACCCAATAGATCTATCCTACCAAACATGCTTTGACACGACATACCTACTCATATCTATTAATTTCTGACAAGTCTCGTATTCCGTCAATGTAACAGTCGCGGTCTTTGAAGGTAGTTACAACGGCCTCGCAGTCACATTTAAGAGGGGCTTCTTGCGAGGCCCCAAACAAACACACTTAAATTTGTGACTTTCTTTTTCGAGCGTAAAAGTGATAAATTAATTAGTCATCTGTAGTAAAGTCTGGAGGCATCGCATTTTAGGGGGCCTCGCGAGCCCCCTTCTATTGCGAGGCCGTGGGCGAGGGCCCACTTCGCCCACGCCTAGCTACGCCACTGCTTACAATCATGTATGTAACACAATTAACAACACAAAACAAATTAGAAATAGCTTGATAGTGATTACCTCGTTCCCAGGGGTTATTATCATTCATAAATTCTATAATATTATAATAACCCCTTTTTATACAAACTTAGTTTATTAAAGTTTTTGAACTTTGAGCAGGTTTTGTATATTTTCTGGGATTTTGTTAAGTTGTGTGTATATTTTGTGTAAGTGTGTGAGTGTGATATATTTAGTTAATGTTCTCATTGAATAATATTAACAATATTGTGAACACAATAAAATATGTTCTCAATTAAACTCAAACAAACAAAAACTTTTTATGGATGAAGTGTTGATTTTTTTACAAAATTACTATAAAAGTATTGCTTAACGTTATATTGCTGATTTTTACTTTAGAATAAATAAATATGTTGCTAAATGACTATTACAGTGACTGTTTTGCATTAACATGCATTACCTGTCTGTATATGTATAAAAAATACCAGATTTCAGTATACAATAAAAAAAATAATATGTCTAAATAAGTTTCGGTTTCAGTACCGGTTTCGGCCGAAACTGACTTTTCGGTTTCGGTTTCGGTTGAAAATCCTGTTTCGGTCGGACACTACTTATTACATAACGTCAAATTTCTTTAAACTATGGGGAAGAAAGCTTCTCGAGTGTCAATATTGTATCGGTTAGCGGATTATAAAGCGCTTTACTGCTAGATGATAGTTATGACATGGTAATACATCATGTAGGTAGTCCATGGATGCAATTGGGTCAAGCCAATATATTCTTACAACGTACAAAATTCTTTGGGAGAAACCATGGTTCAGCTTTATTAGGAGCGTTATTATAATGATAATTTAAAATAAAAAATTTTGTACAGCCGACTTCAATAAAAATTATTAGAAATAACTCAAAAACCATTGGTCAGACCTTGATCAAATTTATGGAACCACATGTGAAGCACCAGCGTTCAAATAAAAGAAGAATCATCGAAATCGGTTCACCCAGTAAAAAGTTATGAGGTAACACACATAAAAAACATACAGTCGAATTGAGTACCATCTCCTTTTTGTAATCGGTAGATAATACACTACAATCTTATTCAATAAATTCTCGAAATGGTAGAGAAAACAGCAACGAAATCTATCGAGTAATTTCAAAGTTGTAAGCGAATACACAGACGGACGCGTGTAAGCGACTTAATTTTATACTATTTAGTGTTTACTGTTTATATTGAAAATCTACTTTTTGATATCGCTCCGCTATTTACTTATAGTATGAAAACAATATTGATTCAAGGAAAGTATCAAATAAACAAAAGAATCGGATGCAATATCACCCATATTGAAATTCTTTATCCGTTTGCCAAATGTATCCTAATAAATAAGCGTATTTGGAGCACAAAGTGACTAAACGATCTTGTAACAGGGTTCAATGAGTCCTGCTTGCGTATCGTAGCGAAGTCGGTGTATTTATAGATACACTTCCAGTATCATCCCCTATCCTTATTTTGCATTTTTTATTTTCATTTTTATCATTATTAATTATTTTAATCATAATATAAAATAATAAACTATTACTCTATAGAAATGTATAAAATATCACACAAGTAAAGGCGAATACTATAGTGTAACGAGTGTAAGAAAGAAAGTTCTTGTTTGCAATTGTACATCATTATGTTCAACTTTCAAATTTTTCTTCCGTATGTAGAAGTACTGTGAATCTCCAACTCTCTCCTGACGACTAGCAGCTACAAACAACAGCTTGTCTCACAATATTGCCCTGTCTTATACGTTTGGCATAAACGAGTTTATCTTTCTGGAGGTTGCCATATTTACCTCTTACGATAACTACGAGACAAATTTCGGTATGGATTCTTGAGATGCCACTACTCGGCAATCACCGCATCTCATCACCACTGCTAACAATTACATTTCATGTAATGAATTACGATTACATTTCATGAGTTTTAATTTTTTTGCGCGGAACTAATTATTTTTCTAAAATGAAAGTAAGTTGATCCAAATTACTCCTTATAATATCAGCTATCTGCCAGTGTAAGTCCCGTCAAAATCGGTCGAGCCATTTCCGAGATTAGCCGAAAGATAGCAGACAGACAAACAGACAAAAAAAAATCATTTTTTTGTTATAAGTACATACTTTCATATGTATTTATTAAAAAAGCTGTTATATTAACATTAGAAACAGACACTTCAATTTTATTTATTTGTATACATTGTTGATGATTATGCTTATGATTTCTTGTTTTGCAGGGAGTTCCGACTTGTGCTGCGGCCCGACCCCAGTTCCGTGTTCAGCGAGGATGTGCAGTTCCATTCGTCAGCCGGTCCCATCCACTACAACCCTGCTCAGGTGTACTCCGGGAAGCTTGAAGGTCGGTTTTATTATCACATACACACACGCACACACAATTTTGACCTAGACCTAGTATTATTTTGATAGAAAAATATTACATTCTATTCTCACAACTACGTGGCCCAGTGGTCAGCAGTACTAAAAATATTTCTGAAAAAGTATTAATGCACTGACTAGTTGCAGTATAATAATTTCTCTTTTGTTAAAGAATATTACTAACCCTATTAACCTAACTGGAATTTCTTGTGCTAGGAGCGTTTTAGATAGTAATGACGGATTCGAACCCGCGAATTTGTTTCACAGTCAGTGCGCTTAACCAGCCTATGGCTACTGAATGCTTAAGGACGTTTGAAAAATTTTTACAATATTTTACTTCATTACTGGTTTTATGCTAACCTCAAAGTTCATGGCCTTTTTGAGATGACAATGTCAAAACACTATTTAATTCTTATTCAATCATTAACTCTGTTTTTATGTCCTACTTAACAAATTCACCCGCAACTGGACAAGTATGATATTTTGCCCTATGTGCGTTACAGTGATTTGGTGACCACAAACCGCTAGATAATAAAACTTCATTAATCGCGGCTCGCATTGTATAAGATTAGTTACGCAATTGGGCCTAACTTAATCCACAACTCGTTGGATAGGGTTGCCACTGTGCGATAGCGATAAGGTCTTAAGGCACTAACAAAATGAATAAAATTGGCAAATTCCTTGCAGGGTTATTAATTTTCGACTCCAGTTAAATTACTGAAGAATAATAGTAAAATATGTTGTAGTATTTACTAGGTATTAACATTTTTACGAAACTGTTAAAAGTGGTAGCTCAGAGTCCGAGAGAGAGAGAGAGAGAATGTAAGCGCTCGCTGTAAATTTCACAGTACACGGGCAACCAGGGTTCAATCCCTACCACCACCAATGTAATTGTTAATTGCAATATAAAAATCCGATTCACCACGTGCTCGACGGTGAAAAAAAACATGGTGAGGAAACCTGCATGTCTAAGAACATTTTCGTTTTTTTGAACTCGGTAAAAAAATTTAATTAAGCATCATAATTTTCGTGGTTTAGCATCTTTGATGACTTTTCTTCCACTTCCGAGTCTCGTTCGTCTGTAAGCATGATGCACCGCTTCCACGTGCTGTTTACTTTGGAAGAAAAAAGATCTATAGTGGGATCACCTTACTCATTTCCACTTATTCGACCATATTGATTACTGTTGGAATAGGTTACGATTATTAATATAAGAAATACGATTTATACGCTTTCTCTTTTTAATTTTAATAGCAAACTTAATTACCTAGCTAGTTGTGTCAAAAATTATACACAAGTACCTAATAGAATATATGGCGTCATCGATGTTCAAAGCAACCCTACACTATAATTGAAAACCATGTCACGCGCCCGGAGGCCCGTTTGTCCAATTCATGCAACCTTCTCCAAAACACGGCGGGAGTTAATAATATCGGATATTGCTCGTGTGTAACAATAGTTTATGTTAGTGCCCTCGTGTCAAATATTAGGTACTTCATTTCTTCTAACTTTATTTGTGGCGGGGAATACAATATATTTACAACCAAAAAGCAGCTTATGATGTAGTTTTATGGTTAGTGGTTTCAAAACCTACAAAATTTTTCATTCATGTCATCTTCATTTAAAAACTATTGATTGTTACTCAGACACACCCAGTCACTTCTTGCCCTGAGATGTTCATCCACGAGACTTGCACATGGCATAAAGAAGCAAAAGTTCACTAGTATTCTGATTTACCATGAAAGGTTTCACTACATACATTTGATCTCCTCGACCTCATCTAGCCACAGACACACACACAGATACACAGACACACAAATATACAGATACACACTACAATGATAACTACCCTCTGTTTTCATCGGGGGTTAAAAATGAAAATGAAAATTGTCATCCCTGATAACTAGGATCTAGTGCCTCGTTACCATTAAGAAGAAATAAGAAACACAGCAGTTATGCTGCTATTTTACGCTAATATTCTGTGTGACCTTGGTCCCTTCCAGTTGTGCCAACTTATCAGTGCTGCAGCGTAGTGCTTCCAATTATAATTTAACCGAAAATTAATAATTGTAGCCCCAGTATTCAACCCACCTTTTTTTTATATTCAACGTCATCATCTTTGTTACCATCACCACTTCAGCTCATCACAAGTTAGTACTGTATATCGGTGTTTCAATTGAAATATCAGTTATTTCATAGTCATTTATTGTCACCAAATACGATTCGAGCCCTCCGTATCCATCGATTTCCTCCATATTGTCTCTTAAATATGTTACCTATCCACAAGTCAGTTTCCTTTTCTCTGTTGTCTTCTTCGCTAAATAAACAAGTAATTTCAACAAATTCATCTTCATCACTTTCCAGTTTCCGCTCATCGACTAGCTGAGAAAATCTGTTGTATATTATACCATTGTTAAAATCTTATTGTAAATGGCTGTTGCGTCAAGATTCAGATCGCTGCCGACACAGTGGACGCACGACCACAGAGTGATCTGTTTGATACCATTCGTCTGATGCCTTTACCTACAACCACTAAACTTTCGTCTTTCTAGGGCGTCCCTTCCCGATTCCACTCATATTTTTCATTGCTGAGTGCTTGCGATTGTGAAACAGAATCCATTTTTCGTCGCAGGTAACAATGCTATTGAAAATTTCGTTTGGTTGCTTGTTGAGCAGTGGAAGGCACGTCTCGACGAGTACTTCGCGCTGGCGATCATTGAAAAGGGCACTCATTTGTCAAGCTTTTTTATCTTGCCAATATGACGCAAATGGACCAATATTGTAGTGATGCTAACGTCGAAAGCTGCTGTTAATTCAGCCGAGCTTAGAGTATCGTCAGCTTCCACATTCGCCTTTAATTCGTCATTGTTGACCAAAGTTTCCAGACAACCACGGGTTTCATTTTACAGGTCGAAATTTCCAGAACAGAAGCGGGCAAACCAATAACAGGGGGTGCGTTCGTTTCTAGTATTCGCTCCGTAAACGTCGTTGCTGTTGCGTGCCGCTTGTGGCGCGTTGCTGTACTCATATTCCATAATTACTTAAATTTTTAACGTATCCACTATAACGAGAAAAATCCAAATGCGATGAAAACATAAAGCCGCGTATCGATTATGCGCTCCAAGAGGTCGAACATTGGCGCGCGTTCCAGCCGCGCGAAAGGAATACCGGCTTGGAACGCGTGCCAAAATGTTCGTTAGAACGTTAAAACGTGGAGCGGGCCGTTCCATCTTGTGTCGATTTTTTTACCACGTATCAAAGTAGTTAAGTATTGGCGCTCGCCAGTTGGGACGGTTGTTTTCATATTTCATAACCAGAGATACCATAAATTGATAAAATTATATGGTTCAAAAGAACTGCTGTGGGAAAACATAATTCGTTTTTATCACAATAAAGCGCTCAGAGAAGATGCATAGAAATATGAAAGCGGCAGTTGCTCGTACACGACTGACATCCATATTGAACGGTCAAACATTGGAGCAGCTGCTGCGCGCGCCAGGCGCGCTTAGTTGGTACACATCGAAAATTTGGAGCGCGGAACGCACTGGTCAGCGCGGTCAATCATGGCGCGCACGCTTAACGCTAATATAAACTAAATAATACTATGCTAAGCTAAATAATGTTTTTAAAATAAAATTAATTTGAAATTAGAATTCTTAGCCGAACAAAAATTATTTTGATTTGAAATGGCCAGTACTGCAGAACGGCAATTTTATAGGTAAAGACCTATTGTTGTCGTCAGCTCAAATACGAGGATTCGTAAAAGAAAGACCAAATGTTCCACATAATCACATCTTATATTTCCATAAAATAATACAACACTGGGTGTACAAATATCATAGCAAATAAGTTCACACGTATTTACAGTTTCAGTTTTCCAATTATTAAATATCAACTACTTCTGCGCTTTATTGCTTACGACTTACTTCCTCTGAATCTCGAACCAGAATGCCTTTCTCCTTTTGCGTGTTAGCTTCCCTCCCTACAATCCCCTCCACATATTTAGTATGCATTCGAATAAGCGACCGAATCTATGGTTGAATGTTTAATAATTTTGGGTTGCCATTGTACAAGTACCTATCATAAATGAGCAGAATAAATACAGAATTATTCAGGGTTACCAGAAGGAAGCTAACACTATTATATAAATATGAGAGTTATATTTCATTCATGTTGGCTTATTTATAGCTTCTTAGAAGGGACAACGAGATTATTGCAGAGCAGGTCAGGTAAAAAAACTCTTGGTCATTATTTTTCTTTAAGTTTCTCCTACTACTAGACTATAAATAATAACAATGAGTAGAATAAAGTGATATATCCATTACATTTATTATAATTAATTATTAAATAATTGCAATTAAATATTAGGACTTACTAGTACTTGACAAGGTATGTTTAACATTTTAAAACTTCTCTTCAGATAGTTCAGTCTTTTTTCAGGATTTTTAGTATAGTTTTGTATGTAAGTTTTTTTTTATAGGATAGGGTGACAAACGAGCACTCAGTCCACCTGATGATAAGTGGTTACTGTGACCCATAGATATCGACATCTATCCTCAATAAAGAATCAAAATGCATCTGCGTTGTCACCCGTGAGGACTAAGATGGAATGCCTCTTTTGCAGTAAAAAGGGTCTCCGGTTCTCTACACTCACCATACGAAACACGGCAGCGTTAAGGTGCTATTTTACGCTGGTATTCTGTGAGAGCGTGGTCCTTCCCCGGTCGAGCCGACCCATTCGTGCTATTAGAATACCACTAATGTAGCTGCAGCATGGCTCTACCACGTAAAAAGTATAACGAAACATTTGTTGTAGTAAACATGTCTTAGAAAATAGTACTTTATCTTTACTCTACGTACGATTTTTTAATCCAACGCAAAATTTAGTAATTATAAACTATTCTTGCTTCATACATGGTTCTTTATTGACCTCTTAAATGCGATTCTCTCCTCACCTCTCGTAACAAACTTGGTAGGTTATTT